ATCATTTAAAAATAATAAATTATAGCCTGGATACACCAAAGGAGGTTGTAGACTCTTTTATGATGGAAGTTTAAAGGACAAGCCAAAAGTAGCTGCCAAGAACAGAGCAGAAATATTTATGCCTGACTTAGCTAAGGATACTGTACTAATTCTCATAACATCACTGCCTAGATTTACATTAATTTTCAATTTAGGTATTAAGATTGATGAAGCAAAATGTATACCTATTTTGCAATCGTGATATACAGAGACTTCTGTAAGGCATCTGACTCCACGCCACAACTGACTACAACCAGATTACAGACTTGCCAGGCACAGCTGAAGATACACTTGGACATTACAAAGCAGGGTAAGACAGGGAGTCTCCCAGGCAGCTTCCCGAGGAGCCAAGCGAGGTCTCTGCTTTGCCTTCCTTCTGACAGAAGCTGCCACTCAGACCAATCTGAAACTTTTCAGTTTGGACCATCACCCTGTTCATGTTATTTCACTAACTAGTGAAAGCTGCTTCATATCTTAAATCTGAGCAAAAATCAACATACCCAAATAAAACCTTCATTGCAAACAAGGATTGAAGGCTAGAGAACAGGAGGTACTAATTAATTAGTACCATTAAATATAAGGTAGTAATGTGCCATGACAGCAAAAAGTGACACGCATTATAAGAGTGTGACACAAAGCTGAAGGATGGTTTTTATATGCTATTGTTGAGAAAACCAGGACATGGTTTTATCTTTGAGATCTTCAGAACTGAATTTTAAAAATCAGCAAGGGAGGTATACCTTTGCTATATGCTGTATATGTAGTGTCAATATATGCTCTATATACCAGTTCCAGTTGCTGGTAAAATTCAAAGAACTTAGGTAATGTGGCAGTGTGTGTAGATGACCCAGTAACTCTTCCAAGGCTTAACTGTTTGAGAACTTCATAATGCCTTTATTTTTAGGCACAGAGTTAAACTATGAGACGTTACAGGCAAAGTATAACATGATAGAGATATTCATGCCACCAAGACAGATACTCTTTTTTTTAGTCAAGAGACCTCTTACAGTCTGAAATCTCATTACTTAATCCCTCACTTACTCTGCTGTTCTGTTCCTACTCTGCACTGTTATTCTAGTTAAGCCCTGTCAGAGGCAACAGAAGAAAGTGACATTAAACATTTCTGCACTTGACTCCTCAAAACCTGCAAAATTACAAACAGAGAAAAATGTTATACTGAATGGTAATGAAGTCATAAAGTACAAAAAAAAGAAAAATTCCCATTGAGTCACTTTGGGAAAGCCATGTCAGTAATATCTCTTAAACCTCCCACAGCCTACAACAAGATGTTCCAGAGATCAAGCCCACCACCATGACAATGTGGCCATGACACACAATATCACAAATGACACTATGTAGTATCACTTATTATTTGTATGTTAAGAGGTGACAGAACTACCAGTTTTATCCTAAGTGCATGACAAGTACTTGATAAAAAGGATTATATATGTGTTCTTCACAATACCTGTGAGCACAACTCCAGCCTCGTTTCTCCTTTCACATTAGACAGTTGGATGCTGCTTATCTCTAAACACCCTGAAGGCATTAAATAAATACTAGAAACAGGATCCTAGCCTCAGGTACAAGGTACGTATTTGGACAGGCACACCTTTCTTGATCAGTCAGCACTTCAGAAAGTCAAGGAAAGTTAATTTAACCACTGAAATAAAGACTGACAACTAATTAATGAATTGGGGACCATCACTCCAGGGTATTCAAATAGGAGGCCTCACAGTATAAGCACATACAGCACAAACACCTTGGGGACACTGATCCTTTTGCAACCACCACCCATCTTGTTAAGACATCCAAAAGTATGATGCCCTCTCTTTGTATTTATACTTGGCTTTGTATAATTCTGTATTAGATCAATGACTCCTTTTTTCATGTGCACACAAATAATAAACTGCAAAAAGTCCATTTTTAACACTGGAATGTCCAAGTATTTCCAGTCTCTCTCAAAAGTTCAGCTACAGAATGCACAGACAAAAAGAACATCTGAAGGAAATTCACAGCAATTTGAATTCTTAGTACTGAACTTGAAGGTAAATGTGAATAGATCATCCTGGATTTTAGTTTGACTGCTGTTCCAAAACACACATTTTATAATTAATAGTAACTATTTCCTAATGTAATACTTCATTTCAGTATAATGGTTTTCCCAACAGTTTATGGGTTTGGGATCATGGCTGTTCATTTATACAAACAGTGTCTGCCCAGCTTAATCTTAAAAGCAAACCTCAGGGTGCTGCACTTGCCATTGAAATTTGGAACAGGCACTAGTCAGTCAGCTGCTTCAAACTAGACTGCTGATGTTTTGACAAAGTTCAGTTTTTCTAAACTAGTTTCCATTACATATTTCAGGTGAACATGAATTTGAAGTGTTATAGTGATGGCTAACAAAATCAAAACACTAGTTTAGTAGTCTGAATAAGCCACAGATTTTAATATCTTTGTGAATAAAGGCGTACTAGAAATGTTAAAAGATCATTCATAGCATATATGACCATGAACATACACATCTAAGCTGTAACATACTCTTATTTAAAAGTTAAGAGAAGGCAACTTCTATCCACCACAATAGACTATTTTAAAAGAAGCTTCCACAGAAAAGGATAGAGGGGAAGAAATCACTGAAAAAAATTGTCAGCTACATAGCAAAACAAAAATCTCAAGCCCTTAAAATAGTCCAAGCATTCTTTGCTAAATCACTTGAGTGAATCCAATGTATGATACAAAACAATAGACAAATACATTACTGAAAAAGCTCTGGAGACATGGTGGGTTTTGAGACACCTCTGAACATTTAAAGGGAAGGCTTCATTGCTCTTGTAAAATTACCTATACAGTAAGTTTAGAACTATCCTGGCTTTTTCTCAACTTCAGTCATTTAGCTGTGAGCCTGCAGATCAGACTGAAATTTAACTGTGTCAAGCCACGAGGCTCTCTTTACTGGAAGCACATCAAGGTTCTCACATGAAATCTGATCATCAGCACAGCAGGATTAATGACAGAGGTGGTCAGGCTGATAAAGCAGCTGAACAGAAACCTGCTTAAATGAGTTTGGAACTGCATCTATGATAAAGTTGTAATGCATTCTCACCCCTTCGTGCCAGAACTGCAGAGCTCTGGTCGAAACTGATGCAAAAGAAAAGAGTTTATCACTCAGTCTCTGCCTGCAGGAGGACTGTGGTTGTTTCTGTGAAAACAGACACCAGCTACTCAGACTACCACCATCGCTCTCACAGGAATGCCACCAACTCGATCCAACACCTTGGGATTCCTGCTTTAGCTCACTGCAAAGGAGAAGAGCAGGGGAAGGTTTTTAAATAATTAAGAGGACTTGTTTATGCATATAAAAATAAACTGGGTATCGGGGATTTCTCTCAATCAACAAATTCTCAAATTAATCCATTACTATGAATGCTGGAAATTCATCTTTACTTTTAGCTACCTTTTTACCTCTACCTGAATTCTGAAATTGGCACAAGTAAACTGAGGTGTGTTATTTAGACATGACCCAAGTCTATTGGTACCTTTATATATAGCACAGCAGCTTCACCACAGAAGCTGTAATGATGAATTCAATAATATACAGAACTTTCAAACATTTAACATTAGAAAATGTCTCCACACAAAACCAGTTGCTACAAAATGCATTACAGAAAGTTTTCCAAACAGGAAAATAAGACAAAAACCAACCAAACAAGAGCCACCAAACCAACCGTTGTTTTCAACTGTTACAAAAGCTGGCTTTATAAAGAAATGTCCTGCACCAAGTCTCCTACACACCCCGAATAAAGTTCTTCATGTCTAGCCCTTTTAAAGAATTAAAAACTTGTGATAGTGAAAACTAAAATTTCATATATCTAGCTAAACAGAAAAACTTCTGTGGAGTGACTCACCTTTACACAAGAGGAAATATATACATGGAAATCTCAATGTCTTTAAGTATTAAAGCAATATTAAAAAAAAAACAATTTTCTAATGCAGGTATCTCTTTACAGCAATAAAACTGGATAAAAAAGTTTTTTGGTTTAACTTCAAAAAAAAAAAAAACACAGATGAATTGTTATGGAATGGACATAATATACTGCAAGATTGTTTCCATTTCAGTGAAATGCCAGAAAACTATGTGGAGGGTAACTCCATGAGAAGTCAGGAACTAGAACAAGGAAAGAAACTATTTTTTCAATGCTGGAAAGACAACTCAATGTCCTGTTCCTCTGCAATAAACCTTAGAAGAAGAACAGTCAGCAGCAGAAACATTATCAGCACTATAAAACTGTATTTACAAATTGCTTTAAAAAGGTCTTTTCTACATCCCACATACAGAGCTGCAAGCCACTGAAAGTATCAGATTTTCTTATTCATATTATTTACTTCAAACCAATCTTTCATTATTGGAGTGTGGCATAAGAAGCAAAGGAAACAGAAGAGTAGTTAATTGTATTGCAATTTCAGTGCAATAAAATCTGTGGTCCCAAATTCAGCAACCATGTATGGAACTCCTTAACACATGCATCTAAGTCTTGTGAGGCGAAGACTACCAAAGGAATGTGTACCATCCCACAAAACCAATAAACCAGCTAAATTAAAGACATTTACACTTACATATGGGAGAACCAATAAGCCATCAGTGTTTAACACTACATGAATGCAGAAATACATGGCAGAGGTCAAAAAATAAACCAATTATTTTTAGCTTTTTCTCTTCCTCCCAAAAAGCTCTGCAACTCCTCAAATAAATTATGTGACAAAAAAAAAAAAAAGAAAACCAGCTAGAAGAGTGATTGAAGAAGTATTTGAAGCCTGAAAGTTCTTCATCACTCACTCATTTGGAGTGAAGCAAATACAAGGACTATCATTTGACTTCAGTGGAAAGTACTTCTCCTGACAGTCTTGTACATTCTCAAACATGAAGCAACCAACATTAAGAGTAAAAAAAACTAAACACACACCTTGAACACCTCAGAGAAGAAACCAGAGCCAATTTTCTCACATGTGAAATCATCAAGACGAGTAAGTCTGGAAAAGGCACTTATCAGGGCTCTGTATGAAGAGGTACAAACTCTTCCTAGCTGGGAACCAGTCCCTTCTCCAGTGCTACCATCAAAGTCTTCAGCGCGCTCCAAGCGTGGTGGAAATCCTGCTATTGAATTCCGCTTACTTCGGTCCATTTTGAAAACAAGATTTTATTTCACTACAGGAGGACTTCTCACATCTTAGGTAATTTGCTGTCTTCTGTACTCTGCTTGGATCCTAAAATACAAAAAATTGAGATTACCATTATTGTGAAGATATCTAATAAATTTGATAGAACCCAACAAAGCTTACATCCATTTAAGAGAGTAAGAAAAGAATGAAGCTATTCAATCAGGGGCAAAAAAGCCAAAGAAATAAAACAAACCACCACACAACATCAACAGTAAAGACAGCAATCTAATGAACTTCTCCTTTAGATCCATGGAAATATCCTATGCTTTGGCTACTCTGAGACAAACAGGCTTGGAACTCAAAATTTAGCTGGTAACAAACAACTTTCATTCCCTTCCCCCAACCTTTTCTTTTTTTACAGCAAGCAAGGGAGCAGGGGGAAACCCACAAAATGTAATTCCACTTCAGTTGTAGTCAGTGACCAACCTACTGCTACAGCAAAACTATTTCACTTTCAGGCATGAACAAAGCATCTCCAACTATAAAAAAAAATTAAAACACTTTCAACTGGCATAAGAAAAATTATTCACTTGAAGCATCAAAACCTTGTTTTTAAAGCTTCCATTTATGAGCATGCCAAGATCAATTCCCTAACCAGCAGGAACACAAGGTTATACCCACTGAACACCTAGCCCCCAAATTTCTAAAAAGACCAATCCTGCTACGAAGTATTCTTATAACAATCTGCCATACAAATTTTCCCCACAAAGATATTATTTAAACCTATATTAATTTCAGTTGAACTGAAAACACAGGAAACAAAGTTACATTTGCCAAGTAGGAGAAAAGGAAAAAAGGAGGGGGACTAATAATTTTTTCCTCTTTTTAAGAGGATGATGAAGTAATCAGGATGACTCTGGAGCCCATCAAATTCAGCTTGGAATGGCAAACTTGACAGGTATTTTAAATTTTTAGTTATAAAATGCAGGTATTTTACATTTTTTTCTTTAAACCTTAGACTTAGGAGGTTATTCATCCATTCCAAACTTCACTAGTCATTTACAGCAATTTGGTGAGCACCTACAAAGCCTGAACAAAGTGAACAGTCACAAAGAGGATACTTTTTTTTTTCCCCAAGGGTGAATGAAAAACTAGAAGGAAGGGAAGGAAACAATAAAATTATCTTTTAAAAGGTGGGCAAAATAACCACAGAGCAGGCAATTACACTTCTATGTACAAAGATGTACAGAACCTGAACAATACAGTACATTTGAAAAGCATTTCAGAGGCACACCAGCTGCCCTCTGAAAACACAGCAGTGCTGCTATTACAGGCTATGTTTTGCATGCAGTCTATCTTTTAGAGATGCTCTGTGCCAACACATCAGGCAAACACACAGTCAAGTCCTTCCCTGCTTTCAGAAATAAGCTCTGCTGAACTGTCTGGAATTAATTTGAGGTTGTCCACTCCAAAAAAGAAGGGTGTTTATTTCAAACATCTTAACACCTCTCTAAATGGATGTCAGTGGGTATAAGGGACTCTTACCAAGGCATGATTATGAAAATTTAATCTCTATCAAAACCCACATCATGGTTTTCCTACAGATTTTTGTATGCAGACTCCCACATGCCTAATCTTAGTGCACTTTTCAGATTATAGTGGCCAACTGGCACACAGGAGATCGGGATCCAGTTTGTAAACTTGTATTCTTGACTCAGGAGCCTTGAGGGTCTGGAAAAGGCACAGAAGCACCACAAGAAGATAAAGGCTGTTACATGTCCTCCATGGAGAAAAATAGCCCAGAAACATAGCTGAAAAATAGCCTAGAAAAGTAGCTGAGAACCTCCTCAGCTACAGAAAAGATGCCTGGGAATTTCCAAGGCCTGCTTAAATAATTCCTTTTGATCTGAAAAGGGCAAGCTATATTTTGGTTACTTTTTACGGAGATAAAGAAAGAACTGCCTATGGAAGGAGAACAGACAGAAGAAACCATGGTATTAACAATTCATTTTTTTATATGAAGATACTATCTTTGAAGACTGACCAGAAAACCTACTGTAATTGAAGGAACAATTTTTTAGAACTTATTTCTATCAGAGTAGCACCCACATGCATCAGTCACTTGCCACGGAAGGAGGCAAGCATCTGCCCCCAGAAATGCACAACCTGACAACCCAGTACCACAGGGTACTACAGGATCACCACTCCACTGAAAGTGCAGAAGCCCAGAATAAACTCAGTGAGAAAACATCTACACTGCAACTCAGCAAACTAAAGATTAGAAGTTCCCAGACAAAGCAAGATAAAAAATTAAAATAGGAAAAACTGCTGTTGTTTTAACTAGAGGAGATAGACCAAGTTAGATGAGCAGTATTAAACAGGAGAAAAAGCCTAAATCTCTTAAGTATCCAGATACCATTAACAAAAGATGGCCTCAACACAGTTTCTACATCTATTTAACAAAACAAAAAATCTCCCTCACACATATACACATCCTTTTGATTGAAATCACATGGTGAGCTTTGCAAAACTGCACAAATTCCACACTGAGAGAAGCAATTCACTGTACTTCACACACACAGAAAAAAAAAAGCCCCAAAAGGTTTTGCCATCTGGATTTCCAAATAACCCATTCCTTCATTTTTGCCTGCTAGAGTTTACCTTTCCAGACAGCTACACAAAATCCTTGGAAAATATTAGGATACAGCTCCATTATCTTGCCCAGGATTGCATACACAGAATTAGAGGAAAATTTAAAGTGGGCACAATTCCAAGTGGGCCTCCTGTCATTTTGGCCAATTACACTAATGATCACATTCTCAATGAAATCAACCAAGGTTTAATTGACTGTCAAGCCAGTCTGAGGTACTTTAATTTACTACCTTGTATGGTTAATTAAAGTGCACTGAGCAGAATCTAAGACTATCCTGTAAATCCTGTAACCAACTAAAAGGTTGTTGGGTGGTTTTTTTCATATTAAGGTTCAGCTTAAAACTCTTTAGCTGTGCTCAACAGATAGTTAAAAGACTCTACACACTAGAAAACAAATTTCCTAATAAAGCTTCTAGAACAATTTTTCTGACACCCGTACTCAAGAAAAATGCACCTCACTCTGCCAAGACCAAAGTAATTCTGAAATTCACCTCTCAAAATGCCTATCTGCCCTATTCAGCCATTTCTCAAATTTCTAAAAAGTACAATTTCAGAACATTTCATGCCCTACTACATTTAAATTTCTTTGCTTACCAAAATACACCTTGAAGGAAAAAAAATCCATATTAATATTATATTAAGATCACTTTCTTCACTGAATGAATGCATTGATTATTTAATCATAGAAATTGCTATAAATACAACTATTATTAGCATTAATTGGGTTAATTAGAGAGTTACCTTTCAAAACCAGTGCCGGAGTCTGCAATTATTTAAAGATGGAAACCCCACAAGAACATATCAAGTTATACCCTAAACATCAGTGTTAAACAGGGATATACTAGCCAGTAATTAACATTTTATACTTCATAGATTTAAAATGGGTAAGGCTCCTGAACTCCAGCAGCATCCCTTTTATGCCTCAGAGTATAAAACAAGATCCTCCCCAAAAAAATTCTACTCATTACTAAGAGGTTTCCTGTCCCCAGTATCTTTATAAATATGTGCATACTTGCACTCAAATGTCAAACTCACAATTTCCTAAAAGATGGCCCTAATAACAACAACCATTTTTAGACACAGAGACTGTCACTACGCATTCAGCCTGGAAAGCAATAAATCTGGCAGAAGCATGTTATTAATTTGAAAAGGTTTTCTGAAGAACAAGATGCCAAAGCTTTGATAAAAGTCATTTGCCAAGAGTTAACTATTTAAAGTTGTAGTCTGATGAAGCTTCAACAGCCAGCACTACAAAAACATAAAGGAATTAGAGGAATTATGCTGGCAAGTGTCACTCTACAAAATAGTAACTCTATGGGGAAGAAGACTTCACTGTACTACAGTGCAAACTTCAGAAAGGCTTCAAAAAAATGTAAAGAATAAACTTTTCTAAAGACTGAATTGACTGAGGTCCTTAGCCTGAGGAAAAACAAATAAAAACAAGGAAAAATATTTTAAAATGAAACCCAAGAATTTAAACCAAACCAGTAAAGAGAACCAGGCACTCAACAATTTTGCTCTCAGCTGCTGTCACCTGCTCCCCCTAACAGAGGAAAGTTCCTCAGTTTGTCCATAACTTAGCTTCTTGTCCTTGAGAGGAAGACAACAGCAAATATTTCCAGATGAGGTAGCTACAAATACCAGATCTTGGGTTATGTTTGGCCCAGCACATCCTGAACCTGAAATCTTTTAGACTACTTTATGGGACAAGTCTTTAGGTCCATTTTATAGTCTTCATTACGACACTGCATTAGAACATGAAAATCACAGTATTTTCTATTTTCACTTACATGATATTTTGCTTTAATTTCATCTCCCCTGTACAGGATAATTCCCAGCTCTAGACAGTACTGTCACAGCATAAGCTTCCTGCAAACTAGGACTGACATTCCTCAGAAGAGACCTGCATTAGCCCTACTACACCGTTCCAGAAACTGGAAGACTGCTGAACTGCATCATGGTTTTATAATGCAAACAAACCTCCACGAGAGGCTCTGCTGAAACAAACAGTTCATTTATTTTGTGACTGTAGCCAAGTTTGAAGTGAGTAAGAAAGACCAGCTATTACTGCAGAGCTCAGGATTCAGGGCCAAGGTTGTAGGTTTAAAAATATTTTCATCAGGCATAGGCATAATTTCTAGCACATATTTAGAAGGTAAATATAACTGAGGGAGAATAATAAAAACTCACAAACAAACAGAAAACTAATTGATCCTTATGCCCACAGTGTAATCACCAGCATTTTCTAGGGTGCAATTACAATACAAAACTGAAGCTCTACTAAGGTCCTTGCAACAATCCATTCCTCTCCTAGCCTGGTTTCGGTCACCCCAATCACAGAGCAGACAGGCTCCAGCCTGGTTACAGAGCATCGTTAAATAACCACTCACGTAGATCATGTACAAGACACAGCTGCTGCTTCAAATGGATCATTTTTATATATTATGTTTGCTTAACAAAACGGAGCCCAGTAGAGACACTGAGAAGCTGCTCATGCCTTCCAGGTGTCAGCAGGCTGACATTTGCTGAGCGCCTAACAAAAAGAAAGGGAATCAAAGCCTTCTAATACCAACAGGTATTGTAACATCTCAATCTAGGAATTTCTCCCCCAGCCTCTCTGCTGGGTTTGCAATGAGGGCTGACAGGTCTTTTAGCACAAAGGGTTTCACATGAAACTGGAAGCAACTTTTGCTGTTTCAATGTAGCCAGTGAGACAATCCAGAACAGCAAAGAGAACACGAATGCCTGAAAGAGGGACGAAGACAAAGTAAACAGGCTGAATTTCATACCTGACTACCATCTCTTGGACAAAATTATATTTATGCATTCCCACACAAGGCAGTCAATATTTGTATTTTCCAGCTAGAAGTATAATATCCAGAAATATTTAAGACCTTCTGTAGCCTACCCTAAGCACAAGGCTGTGTTACTGGTTGCACCTTACAGTGAAACACCAAGTACCTTGTTTACTGCAGTAGCAGCTGCACAAATGGAACAGTAACATTGTCTTCACTAATTTATGACTTTTGGAAGTGAGAACAGGGCTTCCCAAACCCGTTGTTCTTAAGGTACTGCAGAAACTGATGTTTACTGGTGTTTACAAACCAGTCTGAAGCTCCCTGCACAATGGAAAACACGTAATTCATAGCGTGAGATCCGTGGACCTGGAGCACACAAGGTCAGCCTTCAAAAGCAAAGTTACCTCAACCATCTCCACTCCGAGCTGCAAAAGCTGTTACATTTCTCCAGTGCAACCAACAGGACAATCATGCCAGAAAGTGGTTTAGCCACTACCAGCAGTGTGCTCAACTTAACAAAAAGTGACAGGATCATATGAAAAGAAGCTTACAGTCTAAGTCAGAAAGAAGTCTTGGCAACAGACAACAGATGGAGTCGGTGTGATACAGTTGCTGATTATTAGATGGACTTAGTGATGAACACACAGCTCCAAATGAATATGTTAGGGAACTAATAAGCAGGAAAAAGGCTTTAAGAAAAAATTATGAGCAAAATGTTTTTGATCTTACCTAGAAGAGCTCTTATTTTTGTGCCAGTTTGCAGGATCCCACACTGCAAGGACACAGTAAAGAGCTCTGCCATTGTGCAAATGCACGGTTGTCTGCTACAGGAAAAATACAGAAAGGGAACCTATGATGCAAGTGAACCACAAGCTTCATTCTTTTCTGCAGCAGACACAGAAGCAACAGAACCCTCCTTCAACCCTGCTTTTTTTTTTTCATGAGTCTGTGAAACCATTTGCATAAAGGAGTACAATGGCAAAAGCAAATATCTGGAATTAGAGGGTATAACTAAGTTACGGGAGGCCTGTGCCACCAGAGCAGCTCTTGTGAACTAACTCGGTCCATCCACAAAAATACAAAGAACTGAAGCAAGGATTACTCTGTAGGCCCTAATTTGCGCTTGGTCCCAGCTGCCAGCTGTTCATCCTAATGAAAAACCACAAAACAAATCAAAGCAAAAAACACAGGACAGCACACACTTGCCACCAGGTATAGGGAACACACCTTTGCCTTCTGTTTAAACTACTCGTTCTGCATGAAGGTTTTACACAAACCAAAATGGACAATGGAATTACTCAGCCATGTCTACAGCTGAACACTGCAAGAATCAGAAAATGACATTTTTATTGGCATGCAACAATTATTTCCAAGCATGATGACTAAATGGAAAGGTTTATGACTAGTCCACAGGGCATGTCAGAGTTTCTCATTAAAAAATCTTATCTTAGGTTGCAAATTCCACTGCCTAATTAAGTCCATGGAACTGTAAGTCTGTTGATTTTGCAGACAATAAAATATGCTAGAACTCTGATCTCTACTAAAAAAAAAAAAAAAAATCAGTCAAAGCACAAAGGCTTCTCATAAACAACCTAAATGTTAGCTGCTGCTTTTTTTAGAGGGGCAAACAGAAAGGTTTAAATAAAATTCAACCCAGTACTCTTCCAATTCAATTCATTACTCTTGAAATTGCAGCTTTTAACTATTACAGCATCACTTACAGGAACACACAAGTGGAAAGTCCCCCGTACTTGAAGCAAAAACCCTTTCGACCCTCCAAGGGATAAAACATTAAGAGTGACCACCTACATTTACACAGCACGTCTCACCTGAAGGCCACAAAGCAAACATACACGCACACACACACTTTAACACTCGAGCCTGTCATTAACGCGTGATTCACGTATTCTTACTGGGTACACTGAAACAGTAAAACCCGAGCCAAGCCCTCACTCCTCTTGGCAAAGCGAACATTTCCAAGACAATCCTGGCCGGGCAAAGCTCCGCGCCGGGCGCTGCAGACCTTTACCCCGGCTCGGAGCGCGGCTTTCCCGCCGCCCCTCACCTGCCGCCGCCGGGGCTGGCGCGGCCCCGCCGCGCACCTGCTGCCCGGAGCGCCCCGCTCCGCCACCGCAGCGAGACCCCGCCGGAAGGGAGCCAGCCCCTCCGCCGGAGCGGCCCCGCTCCCCGCCGCCGACCCTCCCGCGCCGGCCCCGCGCCGCCCCCGCGCCGGCCGTTACCTGAGCGGCGGCGCCTGCAGGGCCCGCGGGCGGCGCGGGCTTTCATGGCCGCATCCCGCAGCCGCGGCCCCTCAGCAGCCCGGCGCGGGTCCGCCCCGCCGCTGCGGCCGGCGCGGGGGCCCCATGTGAGGCGGGAGCCCGGCTGCGGGACCCGGGGCCGCGACCGCCGGCTCCGCCTCCGCCTCCGCCTCTCCCACCAGCGCCACCGCCCACAGAGCCGCCCCTGCCCACCGGCCAATCGGCGCCAGGCGAAGTGTGAGGGACAGTGCCTCTCGACCAATGGGAAAAGGAAACCGGGCGAAGGGATTCGCAGGTAGCCTGCGTGAGTGCCCTTTTCCAATTGGTCATGAGCGCTTGAGCGACACGCCATCTGACCAATCATAGGAGAGACAACAACTCCCGAGAGACGCGCGGGAGGCAGCGGCAGGAAGAAGAGGGGGCGTTGCTATGGGCGCCTCGTTCTCATTGGGCAACTCCTGAGGGCGGGTTATAAATAAGAGAATCAGCCAGTAGGAGAGCGGGCCGGGCAGTGATGGGCGGGCGGAACAGCCAATCACCGTGTGGCTATAGCGGCGGTGGCTGAAGCTGTCAATGGGGCGGGCGCTCGAGTGTCCCGAACCTACGGCCGGTCCCGGTCCTGGTCCCGGTCCCGGTCCCGGTCCCGGTCCCGGTCCCCGCCCCCGCCCCATCCTTGATCACCTTGCCAACGAGCACAGCTGGGCTCCGTGGTGTCAGCCCTGCTGCTATTGCCTCTTATTCCCCGTCCGTGCTAGGATTCCCGCAGGACTCATCCCTTTCTCTGGGCTCCTCCTTGCACCTTCAGCGTTCACTCTTCCCGTTCTGTCCATCTGCCTGCCCCCCGCTCCTGCTGTCGGTCACACGGCTCGGCCACCCCCGCTCCCCGCCTGGAACCTGCTTAACCCAGCTCAGATATTCTGGGCGTTCGCCTGCCAAGGTGAAATAAGCCTGGGATTTCTCACATACAATCGGCTATTTTTCAAATTATCACTTACGATCATGTAGGCAGCCTGGAACAGGTATGGAAGAAGATACCTTTCTTCCTGCTGCGACGCGCTGCCAGATTCCAAGTATCCATTCCAAAGCACGGCAGGACTAAAACATCTCATTAAACATTTGTGAGGGGGATTTGGTTTTCGTTTACATTGGCGAGAGGCTGATTCTTTTCCCTGACCTCATCTTTGGCAGAGGATGAACTATTTTTACTGAAACTCTTCCACAAACAGGGTTCATTTGCTATGCAGTTATGGATAGAATAACCAAAGCCCAAACAGTTAAAAACTGGAGGAGTTGTAACTAAAAAGAGTCTCAGGCAAGAATGTGTCAGTCAGCTTTTTCATACCATATTAGAAATATGTTTTCTCATTATTGTTCATCATTAATTTTACATCTAGTCTTTTCAGTGTGATCAAAAATGTGCTAGAAGGAGTTTGATGTCGGACACATTAGCACCAGCTCTAAATACTGAACAGAGACTTATTCTTACAGCTGGATTAAAATTTCTCTATTCTGCAATGTCTTGATTAAATTTAGTCTCAGAATTTCAATCAAGAGTCTACAGTGAAATTTTCTCCGTTTGTTTAACTACAAAAGGTATAATCATCTTTGCACAGGTAACAGATTAAAAGTACTTTGTGTGTGGGCAAAAAATATGTTGTTTTCTCAATTTCCTCCTGGATTTCCTTCACAGGAAATTTTCCCACACTCACAATTGTTAAATATCAACCACCTGCAAACATCTGTTCTAATGACATCTCAAACACAGAGTGCAGCAAAGCTTTGGTAAATAAGCCATTAAAAAATTATTATTGTATCAATCATATTTTAAAGAGTGACATAGCAGATGGAACTACCCAGATCCATCAGTCTCTTTATATTTAAGCAGGACTGAGTCTCAGAATAGGCGTTTTTAGCAAGATTTTTTCTTTAGAAAATTTTCTTTTTTAAGTTAAATTTCAGTGCTTTATATTTTGCTGGGATTTATCTCAGCAAGATTTTGTAAAGCTAACTCTGGGACATCCCGGGGTCCTTCACCATGTCAGGGTCCAGTGATCCCTGCGACTTTTTACCCCGTTTAAAAAAAAAAAACAAAAATAAAACAAAACAGTATCTCCCCATTTCCCGATTTCCTCGTCCCTGCTGTTTTGGGAGCTATTAGTTGGCTTTAAGGTGACATCTGGTGGTAGGTTTTGATTACCGCTCTTTTTAGGAACTGATCCCAGAACTACACAAATGAATTATCATTCCCCTGTTTCCCTTCAAAAATTTTACCTCCTTTTTGTTTCTCAATGCCTGCTTTTGGGCTGCGAATGTCTTACTGGTAATATCCAGGAATAAGCAGTAATCCCACAGTCTGGTGCAAAGAAACATCATTAAAAGGCACCAGCGTGATCCAGTAAAGCTGAACCTCGGTTGGAAACACTCACACTGTGTTTCATGTAACATCACACGAGCTCCTGTGACTCGTGACGCTACTGAGCCCTGTTTCGAGAAGAAAATAAAGACATCTCATGAGCCCTCCTATGACTTCATCTCAACGGCAATTCCTATTTTTGAAAGCAGGAAAAAAACCGGAGCTGGCAGCAGAACTTTGTCGCTCTAAGTCCCCGTCCCCCGCTCGCAGCTGGCAGAAGCACCGGGGCAAACCTGCAGCTTTGGAATCTGCAGAAGACGAGTGACTTTTGTAGCCTCCCTCTGTTTCCCGGAGAGAGGAAAATGAACGCCGCATTAAAAGACTCATCAAAGGCAAAACCTTGCAGATGTCGCAGCGCTCTCGTTCCTGCCCATCTCCTCTCCATCCCAGAAGGGCTCCCCAGCCTGTAAATGCCTGTGCTCAGGTCGGGGATTCATTCCCCTCTCCTCCGGATGCCCCCAGGCTGCTCCATTCGAAGATCGGCCACTCCAAAAAGCAGCTCTGTGCCTTTGTGGTTTGCACTTCTCTGCTCTCAGACCAATTCTCTCCTCCAGTCGGATCCCTTTGGCTTTTTAAATATAACTGGTTTGGCAAAGGAACAGAGGAGGGTTCGCTCACGGTTGGACATAAAAACAGACGTCAGAAGGTGGATGAGAGCAGGCAGAAGGGGAAACCCCCTTCCTCCGGGATCTGGAAATTTGGGAGATTTCTCTTTCCCAAGAAGAAAGCTGGTGCAATGAATCCATGTAAATTTGCCCCCACTGCAGCAGGGCAGGTGTCTTCCCCAGCTTCTGTGGGCTCCAAAACTAAACAAGTGTGACATGACAGGGACTGTCTCTCTTCCCTCCCAAAAGACCAAGCCAGTGGTTTGACCTCACAGTATTGTGATGAGAATGGACATTTTAGTGATTTAACCCATTAAATACCTTATGTAAGGAAACCTGTCAAGAAAAACCATCTTTGGGTAGGATTGGTCAAATTCTGCTCTGATTTACTCCTGTGAGATTTTAGATTTCAGATCCTGAGATCTGAAATAATGTTACAGGAGCTGGAAGAGAGGCTCCCCATGGGAATGCCAGGAATTTGCTCTTGATTAATGTCAACATAAGCCCTTTTCTAGCTCCTGTCCTAGATGGATTTTTAACAGAACAGCCATGAAAAAATGATGCCTTTCGGGTTTCAAACCAAACCCCTAGATATTGAAAACCATCTTAATGGTTTCCCTGGGAGGAACATTCTCCCACACATGCCTCCCTCAGCCAGCCTTGCAGGTAGTTTTTGCAGAACAGGGACAAGTTGGCTTGCGGGTGAGAGGGCATTTCCTGCTACTCTGAGCAGGGGAAGGGGGAAGGCACAGCTGGGGCTGTGTTCTGACCCCCTGCCCCTTGTCTTGTCATTCCCATGCTCCTGGCAGCAAGGAGGGCTCCGTGGGGGCAGCCTGCATGCTGTCCTCTGCAGAAGGATGAACATGCCTGCTGCCCAGCTGGGTTAACAATTCTGTCACCTCTGCAGACAAGGTGGCCCGTGTGTCCTTGTCTCAAAGCCGTGCTGCCGTGTCAGCCCAAACCCACCACCACATGTCTCTGCATGAGACATGGAAACCATGGGAATGTCAGAGCATCTTCCATGATCCTCTTCCAGGAGGCTGGGCAGAGCCCAGGCAGGAGGCTGGCACAGCACCAGACACCCTGCCTTGGGAGCTGGAAAGGGATTGTTCCAGGGCAGATGGATATGCCCAAATTGACAGCTCCTGTACCGGGGCTGCTGCCGCAGTCTTGTGCTCCCCTGCCTGCTCGTCATGGCCATCTGCTGCCTTGGCTGCACTTTGGAGCCTGCCCACCCTGGCACAGTGCTGTGGCATGGC